ATTATGTAATAAAAATAATTTATTTATTAGGGAAATTGCCAAATATAGCACTTTTCATGATACCACATTTCATTTATACTTTAACCAACTTTACCTTTAAAATTTTAATTTGCAAAGTACTTATATACCCTTAACTAATTAAGCCTAAAAGTAACTCATCGCTGAGCCATCAGTCGATGAACAAACTCGTCACGCCGCCGCCGTCAACTTCAAAAACCACCTCCGTTCACGGTGGCTCCCTCCCGCCTCCTCCTCCTCCATCTCTCCGATCACACCTCCCGAGAATGAGCAGATCAAGACGCTAATCGTATCCCTCATGCTCTCTTCTTCCCCTAGAATCCAGAGCCAGCTCAGCGAAGCCTTATCCTTCATCGGTAAACACGATTTTCCGAAACATTGGCCTGGTTTGCTTCCGGAGCTCGTCTCCAGCCTCCAGAAAGCTTCTCTCGTTGGAGATTATGGTTCAGTTAACGGAATTTTAGGGACGGCTAATTCCATTTTCAATTACTTTAGGCATCAGTTTAGAACCGATGAGCTGTTTCTTGATATTAAGTATTGCCTTGGGATTTTCACTCTTCCGTTGGAAGATATCTTCACTAAAACTGATTCCTTGATTAATGATTCCGCTGTGAGTGGATCAGTAACAAACCTTAAACCTTTATTTGAGTGTCAGAAGCTTTGCTGCAGGATATTTTTCTCGTTGAACTTTCAGGACTTGCCTGAGTTCTTCGAGGATCATATGAACGAGTGGATGGAAGTGTTTCAGAAATGTTTATCATCGAATTTCTGAAAGCATAGGGAGTCTTGTAGAAGGGAGGTTGATAAGGATAAGGAGAGTAAGAAGTATAAAGAGAGTAAAAGTGAGAAGCTTTATGATGGTGATGATCACCATAGATCTTCCAAGGCTCTCTCTGGTAAAACTGGTATGGGTTAATGTTCTTGTTTTAATTGACTTGTGTGTTTGTCTTTAGTGTTGCTTCTGAGAACACAGTTTGTTAAGAGAAACTTGTCACAATATCCAAGGCTCTTTCTGAACACGAGATTAAGATCCTTTTAACTCCTTTTTTATAAAGTATTATAAATTAGTTTATTAACCCTTATGAATCAATTTATACACTCTTGTAAAACAAAATATAATCTCTTATACATTAGTTATCAGCTATCATAAATTAGCTTATGAACCCTTATAAATGATATATAAGCTTTTATATATAATATATTAACTCTTATAAATGTAGATACCTTATTAATGTGTTATAAACCCTTATAAATTATTTATAAACACTTATAAAGGACTTTTAAACCTTATGAATAGTTTATAAATCGTTATAAAATGATTTTATAGGGGATTATAACAATATAATCTTTTATAAGGGATTATTAAATGATTTTATATATACTCTTATAAGAGTTTCTAAATCTATTTCATAAAATTTGTCAATGTTCTATAAGATTTTATAAGTTTTCTGAATTTTAGAAGGTCTTATAAATTAGTTTTTAGTCCTTATAAATAATTTTATTAAGTCGATTTAAAATAAAACGTTGACAAATTTCTCTAAGTTTATATTTATAATTTCATATAAATAATGTTATAATATCCTATAAAAGATTTATAAATCTATATTATAATAGTACACTTTCTATGCTCCACAACGCGCCACGTCAGCAGTTTTGTGGATCTCATATGTATTTTTTAAAAACTTATAGTCTTCGTAAGATGATTACAAACAATGAAATACACTTTAGCCAAGTGGTATAAGGTGTCTAATTAAGCATGCAAGATCGTGGGTTCAAACCACGCAGCCATCATTTTCATTTTTTTATTTGGGTTATTATCATATGGGCTTTTTGTTTCTAAGGTTTTTATGTTTTTTATATGGCTTATTGTTTTAAAGATCAAAATAGTTGGATAAACCCTAAAGGTTAACGAGTTCAAACTAAAAATAGTTAAAAATGGATGCAAAAACGAACAATAAAAAAACAAAAAAAAAGCAAGTCTCACACGGTTACCTACGCGGATGGCTTAAAAGAGCCTTAAAACTATCCTATTATAATATAGTTCAACCCAAAAATAATAAAAAATGAATCCAAAAACGAACCGACCAAAAAAAAAAGTGAATCCCACGCGGCTACCTACGTGGATGGCTTAATGAGGCTTGAATAATATAGATTAAGAGCTCAAAAAGTGAAATCATTGCACATATCTCCTAATATATATTTTCAAAAAATTTGTATGTGAGATAAAATTAAAAAACAACAAAAATTAATTATTTCCGTTATTTATTTAATGAATATGTAATTTCTCTTACATTTTAATAACTACTATAATTTCATTGAAAACATTCCTCACCACCGATTTCAGACTCCGGCGAATGGATTTCCACAGTCGATGACGCCGTAAATAAAAATGCCACATCATTTATGAACAAAACTCAAACTTACAAAAAAACATATATAAAAACCTATCTAATGAAACTTAAACAACGAATGTTAACTTAATTAAGGTTATTTTTAAATTGATAAATCGTTTAATACAAATATAAATACTATAAATATAGAATTATATCAAGTTTTGACCTACGATATAAAAACTATTTACAGCACAAACAAAACACCTACTTTTACACACTAAAAACTATATTATAGCCTAACTATTCCTATAAACTTACTTCGCATATAAATAACATTTAACTCATTCCTAATATATTTTCAAAAAATTTGTATGTGAAATAAAATAAAATAAACAACAAAATTTAAGTATTTTTCGTTATTTATTAAATGAATATGTAATTTCTCTTACATT